AAAAAAAACCCAATTACCTCAGAAGTGAATGCTTAATCGAAAGTAAAGTTGGTAAGCGCTTCCCCTTTCGCTTCTAGCAGGCATTACTTTAACATAGGCATGTCATCGGCGGTAATGGCTTGCAGAGGACTTTGCCTTACCAGTAATGGGTTAAAGAAGCGAAAGACATTCGAAAATAATACTTTCCAGAATACGTTCCCAGCACAAAATCTCGAATGGCTTTAAGTGGCAACGTGTTTCTGAAGGTCAAAACTGTCCTTCCCTTCCCATTTGCAAGCCATTACCGGCAATGACATGCCCATGTTAAAGCGCATGAAGTGAAAATGGAAGCGCCTGCCAATTTTTTTTTTCCATTCCGCATTCGTTTTTTAGGTAAACAGATTACCACAAGAAGCTATACCAGATTTTTTGCTGGGTAAATCTTCGGGTTTTTCTTGTGATTTTATACAATTTTTTTTTCGCCCTGCGAATCTTCAAATATTTAATTTGGCTATTATCGCTTAAGTTTGGCGGTTGCGCACGTGGTGTATCGATCCGTAGTCGCAGCTGTATCTTTTGTGAATATAATTGATGCGAGCACTGCTTCTCTTATATGTATGCAAATAGGCGCAGCAAAACATATTTATTTATGCTAGTAGTGGTGCGTTTGCTGACGCAGCAATTGTAGGTGGAAAATGATCTAGGAAAGCATTTTGTAAGAAATTGATATATCAGTAAGAAGTAACTAGCGCCATATAAAAGAGCATCGCGCACTTTCCGAGCAATAAAACTACATTCGACGTCAGTGATCAAGGGTCTTCACTTACGGACACAAACGAGCTGTACACTGGAACAGCAGTCCGGAATCACAGAAGAATTATTATATAATAAAAAAAAATATATAAATCAACAAATTCATTATGAAATCAATAATAATTTGTGCGCTGCTAGTGGTATTTTTTATATGCCAGACATACGCCGTTCCTGTGGCGATAGTGGAAGTGCCTGTTGTAGAAGTAGCAGGCGTAGCGCCAGTTAGTCTTTTGGATATTGAGAACGCCGATCAATCGAAAGTGGATGCGACAACAATGGATGATGCGGCGCGTTCAACACGTGGCTTAGGTTTGCTTTTAGGCAAATTTGGTGGCGGATTCGGTGGATTCGGTGGACTTGGGGGACTTAAGGGCTTCGGAGGACTTGGCGGATTTGATGGTCTTGGTAGTTTGAAAGGGTTCGGCGGCGGATTTGGTGGTGGCTACAAACCTTTCTTCGGCAAGCTTTGGTAGATCAACAACAATAAAACTAATCATACGAAGAGAAATAGACAGGAATATTATAGTTTTTTAAAGTTCAAATACCTCCAAATGTATACATGTATGTATGTTTGTACATACATACATATGTATTTAAGTGCCCAGTGAATACCAAATTTTATATTAAACATAATTAGTTAATAAATTTTTGTAAAAGAAAACTAAAATAATAAAGTAAGGTAAACTTTAGCAAAGTCGTTGAACAAAATATTTGGCGCTGACACTTTTTTTTAAGTGCATACTTGGATGAGCTTCTCCCCGTACAATTTTACGTCGACTTCTCGCCTTCGAACGGCAAGTGGTTTTTGTGGCAGTCGTCGCTAATGTCGACGGAGGATCAACCGCTGAGGGTAAGATTTTTTTTAAAGGTTGCTCGGGCAAGGCATTGAAACTGTGTCCTGCGCTCTGAAAGCGCGATAAACCTTATTTTTGATTGGCGCTGTAACTAGATAAGCGATACAATTAAAAATGTATTTGTATTTTAGGATCATAAAGACATAGTGAAACAATTAAATTGTCGATTTTTGGTAGAATATAATTTCTTTAAAAACTTTTTTGAAGTTTTTTTATTTTGAAGAATAAAAATCGCAAACTTAAATGGCAAAAATTGTCTTAGATATTTTAACTGAGCGGAAAAAGTTTGTTATGCTAGTTGTTTACGAAGCCCACGGCAAAAAAAGCCAAAGAAAAAAAAGAAGCTCTAAAAAAGTAGCCTACAGGTGCCCTTATAATAAAAGCGAAATATATAAATAGTGGGGAAATAATAGTGAAATGCAAAAATAAAGACGCTTGTGAACAAGTGCAACAAATTGGAAATTAATACGCTGCCCGAAAACAAAAGAGAAAAATTGTATTTAAAAGATACTTGGTTTAACTGAAAAAATTGCTAAGAATCGTTTCGAAGAATACTTAACCGAGCAGAACGACGCTTGTTCTGGAATAGAGTTCAAAGTTCTAAAGATGTATGATAATGCAAATAACAGGGAGGTAAGTTATATTGCATTGTTATAAACCACACAAAGCCACTTATGAAAATGTACTTAAACGATTTTTGGGGACTATTATCCCAATTAGTTCTGCTGGCAAAAATATCTTAAATTTGGGTGTACATGTTCATCTTTTTCTATAAAACTGAAATTGAATGGGTTTATAATTGGAGTTATTCGAAAAATTTTAATTTGAAAAAAAAAAACGGTTAAGTATTTCGAAACTAAAAAAAATCGGAAAAAACGGTTTTATTTTACATAGTTTTCATACAGTGAAAATTCTTATATTGTTATAAAGTCATGACCAAAAACTACAATAAAACTATTAACGTTAAAGATGGCTTTTATTTAGAGCTAAGTAAAATAATTTCAAAGTTTTTTAGATCAAAAATAAAACAAATAAAAGTAAGTTAGAAATTCACGTTTGGTCTTATTTCAACTTTTTATATTGCCGCCATAGTCGAGTGTTTAGATGTGCCTATTGCTATTCGAGAGATCCATGGTTCTATTTCTGGTCCCAGCAACATTCAACATTCCTCCGAGTGTAATTCTTTGGAGCTGAAGTAAAAGTGTAGATTTCTCTATTCAAGGGTTTCTCATAAACTGGAAAAAGCCTTGAAAGCTTCGAAAAACTAAAAACTTTTACTGAGTGGTCAAGATGTGAATTAATTGATATTCGAAAAATCAAGGTTTCAAAAAACCGCCTGTAGATATCCAGAAAAACCGAGTCAATCACCCTAATATATAAGCTTCTCATGCTTCCCATTGAATCCTAAGTAAGTATTGTTGTTTTTTTATTAAAGCGTGTAGAAGTCTAGAAAACGATTGATAGCCGCGGTGGGTATTGTGTTTCCACTACACTAGTGATACCTACGCTGGCTAGTCGTTGTTTGTATGTAGTTTACTGAGCTTGGACTGAGTAGAATTTATTTCGGTCTTCTTCCACCAGATTCAAATGAAGGTCCTACTTATTTAGATAAGTACACCTTTTCTACTTAAAATAATGATTATTGCGGCCGGTCCCATTTCCTCGGGAAAATGAGTATCTATATTGTCACAGAGCTTTGCAATGATATTTTCTCAACTTTTCTTATTTATTTCTTGTAAAACCTAAGGAGACATTTGTACTCCTTCCAGCATTATGTGGGTTTCGCTAGCTTGAAGAATACCCTCACCACCACCGTGGTCTGACTTATTCACTGAAAGTAATAAAAGTCAAAAGTTTTATTATAAAATTCATGCTTACTAACGTGAGTGATTTATTTCCAATTTTATAACGTTTTCTTTTGTTATTAAAATTATAACTTAAACAAGTGAATATGCTTATCTATACTTGTAATATTTATTACTAAGCCAAATCGCCTATGTTTGTTTTATTTTCCATAATCAAATTTGTATTTTCTATAACTTCGTTTACCACGTCCTCGGCAGTACCAACCATCTCTAGGCCTGTAGGCATTATTTTCAATGGCTCAAATGCTTGATCCACCTTTTCTGGCTGCATTTCAACGATGCTATTATCTTCATTCATTTTATTAGCATTCTCCCTGCGATTCTTCAATCGTAGCCGCCAACGCCTTATAGGCCGATTCACTAAACCGATTGAGGTATTTTGATCGAAGAGTGGAAAATTTAGATTAGGAGTCCTAGTTGAAAAACGGTTAACTGTATTTCGGATTCTGGTACGTAAGTTGCTAGCAATTTTACCTAATTGAAAACGAGAGCCAATAAATATAACTTATTGTCTACAGCTTTTTGCAAAGTAGAATATATATTATATATGTAACTATGAAACGTAATTCGAAATCGAAATATTTTTAATTAACTCATTTTATAACTTTAACGAATTTCTTTGTTGTAATGTATGTACTTTTATACATTTTCGTACTACTACTTACGTTCTTCATCCCACAAATTGCTGCTGTTGTTTTCTTTTCCGTCCCATGCTGCCGCTTGTTCCTCATCATAAAAAGATTTCCCTTTACTGTCATTTTCGGTGCGGCTCAGCATAAAAGCGTTACATAATATCAACAACAACAAACACAACTCTTTGCTCATGCTTCCTTCCAATATTCGACAAAGTCTTTGACTAGTCAATACTGC